CTTAGCTGGGGACCTCACCCCCTCGAGTCTGAACCTTCCCAGTCACGGAGCTAGGAGTGCTGATGCTCGGTACGAGGAGGAGGAGAGAAGGGAAGCAGTGCTCGTAGTATTGGATTCCACATATTGTAGCTGGTTTTATGTCCACTGGTGACAAGACAGAAACTTAGAAAAAACTCTTTATATACACTACAGCTATCATTTCCTGAGTATTAACCCTGGGCGGGTGGTGGTTGCGGCTCTTGATTTCTTTCCCATCACCCACACAAGAGCCCCACAGAGGAGATAGGATCTGGCTGGTGGGTGAGAGGCTGGCGAGTGGAAAGGTGGATTCCTGGGTCTGCTGCGTGCAGGTCCAGTCCATGCTTTTCCTGCTGACCCCTGCTGTCCTGAGACCCACCCTCAGTGGAAACTGTTTGGGCATCATGACAAGGCTGTGGGGGGATTCAGAAGGGGGCCCCCCATGCACAGGCCGCCCTAGCTGAGCTTGGGAGTGGGTGAGTCACTTACTGTGAGTAGCTGGAGAGTGAAACAAAGCCTGTGAGGTGGACGTGAAGGTGCCTTGGTTGACCGGTGGGTGGACCCCTGGATGAGGCCTCGCTGGGTCTGAGGAGTTTTCTAGAGCCTCCCCTGGCCCGAGGCTTCAGAGTCAGCTCGTAGTGGTAGAGCTCTGACAGATAACCCTCCCATGGGCGATGAGCATTCCTGTTGGCAAACTTTGTCTGATGGTTGGGGTGCAGTTATGGCATCCAGCTGAATGCAGCCCTCATGGTGTCCCCTGCTGTCCTCGATCCCCCATCTGTGCATACACAAATCTGTTGGAAGAGTTTTGGGGAAATGTTAGGCAGGTCGTGGTACCTGGGCCTGAGGGAGGAAGGGACCTGGCAGAGGAGAAGGCGTGCACTGCCCAGCGGGCAGTTCTGCTGCGAGCACAGGCCTGGGGAGCATGAGTGTCCATCAGGACTCCTTTCTGAGACGTGGGGCCTGACGCTGGTGCTGGCAGCGAATGGCTGCTAGATACTAGTATTTGGATTTAACCCGAGGCGGCCAAGACATCCTCACTCTCTCATCCCCTGGGAGTCTAGCTGATGTGGTCACTGCAGGGACACTGGATCCAGATCCGTTCAGACCCGTGCCCCCGACAGCACCGCCTGTTCTCAGTTCCACGCAAAGGTGGTGCTGTAGTGTGCTCAGTGGGAGACCAGCTTTATAAGGGTCTGCGGGTGGACATGTGTCCAAGAGAAGCCTGGTCAGAGGACACTCCTTAGATCTTAGCTTATTTTCCTCCAGGAGTTATCGTGGAGAAACAGTGTTTGGGCTGCTCTGGATTCAGGTGATTGTTTTGCATGCCTGATTTTTTGCGATGGTGCAGCTTGTCTTGTAATGAAGTTGTTAATTTAATAAGAAAACGTTGGTCAAGGTGCGCTGGTCTTGGAAATATAATGCAGCACGTTTGAGAGAAGTTGTTTGCAGTTTTGTTTGTTTTTGGAACGAGTCAGTTTTTTCAGACTGCGGGGTCCATTTATTCATTCATCTATTGAGCGTGTCTGTGGTGCCTGATGTCTGCACTGGATCCTGTTGAAGCCCCTGGGTGCCGAGAGGAATGAGCCCCCGGCCCTGCTGGTCAGAGAACTGCAGGACATGCAGAGTGTCCCCCGGCATCAGGTTATATGGGCTGGGGATCAGGTTATGTGTGGGCAGGGCAGGGGTCTGGAAAGACGGGCCTGGGCCATCTTGCTCCATTGACTTATTTCATCTCCTGTGGGCCAGGGACTCCTCTACACAGCGTCCTGATGATCGGAGCAGCAGGAAATCCCTGCCCTCAAAGAACTTACATTCTAGCGGGGGGACAGGAATTAAACGTAGGAATAAGTAAGGCATAGAGTGCAGGTGCCCACGGCCTGGAAACAGAATGGGAACTCTACAGAACCCCACCGAGTCATTTCTGTTCTGAGGGCCTGAGAAAGGACTGCTTTTTAAATGGAAGAGGGACAACTCAGCACTCAGATTTGTGTTTAGGAGAATCCTTCCAGAAGTCCCATATGAAAGGCTGGCCAGAGTGTGGAGTGGGGGGTGGTAGAGAATGGAGCCAGAAGACTGTGGGAGTCATAGTCCAGTAAGAGATGGACAGGGCCAGAGCCGGGAGAGAAGATGCCAGACTGAGTGCTTGAGGGCGAGGGTGGCACCTAGTCGTGGTGGCTGTGGCAGAGATGGGGCCAGGTGAGTGGCGTTTAGACAGGCCACCTGTGGGGGAGGCGTCAGTGGAGGAAGTGGGGTGGGGAAAGCTGCCTTGGAACGGCTAGGGAGCAGTGCACGGAGGGAGCGTCTTCAGGGTCCAGTTGATGCTGAGCATCCAGCAGGCCAGTGTCACCTGGTGCCTGGTGCTGCCCTGCCAGAGGCAGCCCATGCACACAGCCGCCTGGCTGGGCTCCACAGGTTTATTAAAAGCAGGTGGGGTGACAGGCCTCGTACTTGAGCATTGGGTGTGACTCAGATGTTCATGGAGTCAGCCTAGAGTTGCTTTATTCATCCCTATTTGCTCTTTGTCGGTAATCCTTTGTAATTCCCCCCTTCATGATGTGATTTTAATGGAATTAAACTTGAACACTTCAAAATTATGTAATTAATTACGTTCGGCTTCAATTACAATGACTAATTATAGTGCGATACCTGGTGGCAAGTCAGGTACGTACTGGTGGGGGGTTCATGCCTGCCGGCTATTAGGACAGCCACTTTCTGCTTGGCATCGGAGTGCCTGCACCCCGGGTCAGGCCGGCTGCCTTTTGGGCTACCCAGGGTGCCTTCTCCTCGTCACCAGGAGCAGCTCCCTGGGACCTGCCAAGGTGTGAGACGAGTGGGAAGTGCAGGGAGGGAGGAGGGGCGGGTGATGGTGTGTAGTGAAGGGTTGTTTTAGGATGTGAAGGCTCGAACTTGTTTGCAGGTTGAAGAGAAGGACTCAGGCTAGGAAAGTGAGTTGGGGGTGGCTGGAGGGAAGCTGAGGGCACTGTTTGGGAGGGAGGTTGTATTCAAGTGAATGTGAAGGCGTCTAGAACGGGAGAGACGGTTCATGGAGAAAGGAAAAGGTGGGTAGGTCTTTCACCTTGGGGTGAAAGGGAAAGGTGGAAGCCAGGTTTAAAAACGTTACTGTGCAGTGTGAATTCCAGGAGGCCTGGGGTGCAGGGCTTCTGGACCAGTAAACTGAGCCTCAGATCCCGAGACCGAGCTTTGTGTTCGTGGACTTCCTCCTTGCAAATATGGTCTTATTTTGGGTTAGGAGGAGGGTGTCTTGCTAAGAAATCTTTATCCCAGTTGACCGTTGCCCGTAAAGCTGGGCACTCCCATCTTCCTCTGATGGGGGACACACAGCCCATCCCAGAATGGAGTGCAGTGTTGGCACAAGGGTAGAGTGGTCAGGCCCTCCTGTCCTGTCCCTGCACAGCCGCCTGCTTGCCCTTCCTTATTCCCCAGACACACCTGCCATCAGCTGTTCTCCCAGGGAAGCTTCTTGGAATGGACCTTAAACAGTGGTGTGCACGTGTGGCATTCAGTGGCCGACGTCCTGTTTCCGAGAGATACCTGCTATTCATTTGAGAGGCTCAGGGCATCTTTTCAAAAGCTGATCCTTACGTCTCAAACTAGAGAGGTTTTCTGAATGCCGTGTGTGAGTTTTCCAGTGTGTTTCCCAGTGGATGTGCAGAGCGAACTGCGCTGGGGAGGGAGCCCCGTGTTCAGAAGTGTGAGCTGAAGCAGGTATTTGGGGCAGGACCGTGAGGATGCCTCAGACTCTTACAGATTTCTCTTTTATAAGGGGGAGCAGGCCTTGAAAACATTTGAGTATACAGCTAGTTGTACATTTTGGGGGGACACGATGGCGCAGAGCACTCTTGGAAAAAGTTTTTTCTGTTGAACATGCTGGCTGTTGTCGGTGCAAAGAGCAGCTCCCTTGACACAATGCCTGATACCTCTGTTCTGTTACTTTTTATTTTTTAAGGTAAAATTCATATAAAATTCACCATTTTAACCTTTTGGGACATTCACAGTGTTGTGCAACCATCACCACAATCTAATTCCAGAACATTTCCAACCCCCCAGCAAGAAACCCCAGACCCGTTAGCAGTCACCCCCACCCCCCTCCTCCCCACCATGTAAACATTAATCTGCTGTTTCTATAGATTTGCCTATTCTGGATCTTTCACATAAAAATGGAATCATACAATATGTGGCCTTTCACATCTGACTTCTTTCACTCAGTGTAATGTTTTCCAAGCTCATCCATGTTGTAGCACATATCAGTACTTCATTCCTTTCTTTTTTTTTCGTGAGGAAGATTGGCCCTCAGCTAACATCCCTTGCCAGTCTTCCTCTTTGCTGAGGAAGATTAGCCCTGAGCTAACATCCATGCCCATCTTCCTCTATTTTGTACATGGGACGCTGCCACGGCATGACTTGATGATCGGTATGTAGGTCTGCATCTGGGATTCGAACCTGTGAACCCTGGGCCGCCAAAGTGGAGTGTGAGAACTTAACCACTATGCCACTGGGCCGGCCCCTTCATTCCTTTTTATGGCTGAATAATATCCCATGGTATGGGTAGACCACATTTTGTTTATCCTTTCATAAATCGATGGGCATTTGGGTTGTTTCTGCTTTGGGGACCAACAATGCTATTATGAACATCTGTGTACAATTTTTTGTGTGAATGTATGTTTTCATTTTTCCTAGGTATGTACTTGGGAGTAGGATTGCTGGGTCATATTTAGTAACTCTGCGGTTAACTTTTGCAGTCTGTTCCTTTTTTTTTGTGAGGAAGACTGGCCCTGAGCTAACATCTGTTGCCAATCCTCCTCTTTTTGCTGAGGAAGACTGGCCCTGGGCTAACATCTGTGCCCATCTTCCTCTACT